GAATCTCTAACAATTATACATTTATTTAGCTATCCAGGCCGATATAATCAATAATCAATAGTGTGGTACCGATTATCAGCAAACATTGATTGTCAATGAAAAAAATGCTACCGATTCCAATAATCGATTATAATTTTTCATAATCGATCATTGGAAACCTATTTCTTATAAAATGCATTCTTTAATTATCACTACCTGGTTTAGCTGTAGAGCTGTAGCTACAGATCCAAGAATTGTGAAAACCTTTGATTTACACCTCCGCTTTTTTGTCACTCACTTTGGGTACTTCTTGTATTTCCCCAACTTTAAAAATGGTATCCTATAATTAACCATACAATTAACTTCTATTCCTGACATTTTATTTACCAAAAGGTTGTTTGTTGGTACTGATGTTAACCAGAAGTCTCTGTCGAGACTGAAGCTCTACTGGTTTGTACTTATAATAAAGAAAGAGAAAAGTAGCAGTAAGGATATAAAACTTTACAAAAGCAATAAATAGAATAATGACAAAAACTGATACACAGAATTATGTACATTAGTGTAGTCTACTTGTGTGCCAAGTTATATTGAAATCAGACCAAAACTGTAGGAGGAGTAGCATTTTGAATAATTTCCACAAAAATTTCTATTTTTAGTAACAACAACAACACCATTCATCGAAATCAAAAACAGATACACAGAATTATGTATTTTAGTGTAGTCTACTTGTGTGCCAAGTTATATTGAAATCAGATTAAAACTGTAGGAGGAGTAGCATTTTGAATAATTTTCACAAAAATTTCTATTTTTAGTAACAACGGCAACACCGTTCATCGAAATTAAAAACCGATATACAGAATTATGTATCTTAGTGTAGTCTACTTGTGTGCCAAGTTATATTGAAATCAGACCAAAAATGTAGGAGGAGTAGCATTTTGAATGATTTTCACAAAAATTTCTATTTTTAGTAACAACGACAACACCGTTCATCGAAATTAAAAACCGATACACAGAATTGTGTATTTTAGTGTAGTCGTCTACTTGTGTGCCAAGTTATATTGAAATCAGATTAAAACTATAGGAGCAGTAGCATTTTGAATGATTTTCACAAAAATTTCTATTTTTAGTAACAACGGCAACACCGTTCATCGAAATTAAAAACCGATACACAGAATTATGTATCTTAGTGTAGTCTACTTGTGTGCCAAGTTATATTGAAATCAGTCCAAAACTGTAGGAGGATTAGCATTTTGAAAAATTTTTACAGACGGACAAAGACAGACAGACAGACGGACGACGGACACATTACTATCGCATAAGCTCTTCTGGTCTCTGACCAGTAGAGCTAAAAATGAGAATATTTTGAACCAACATTTCAAATGTTTCAAAACAACAAAGGACTGTTTCCGACCTTCAAAGGTAAATAAAGTATTCATAATTTGAGTAAAATATATGGTCAATAATCCTATATGACTCTAAAGTCTCGGGAAAGCATACACTTCAAAGAATGAGAGTGACAAAATTGTGGCAGCATAAATCTAATTAAGGTTTTTACAATTGATGCTTTTACCTGACAATTTCTAAAGATTGGTATTCTTGTGAGGCCCAAAAAAAAAAAGTCTTGTTTCCTGCTACCAGCCTGAAAAAAATAGGGTACGTAGGTAGGAAAATTATTTCTTTTTTTTTTTGGATATGAACGATGACAAAACCAAATTAAACATGTCATATGTCAATATTATTGTTTGAAATAAGTAGTGTTTTATGAAAGTCCATATTTAAAACTTATATTTCATGAAATACCACTTGAATTTTTTTCCCCCCTTTTGGATCATGAAATTTCTGATTTCCCCCCAAAAATAAATAAAAACTTAAGGGTCAGGTGCAAAAAAATAGGGTAGGTCGGGTAGCAGGAAACAAGACTATTTTTATTTTTGGTCTGACAGTAGCGTGTATGTCTGTATGTTGAAATTGTTAATTTTACATGCCTGTTGTGTAAAATGAGGAAATATTTGAGTCGAAATGTTAGGCCTTGTTGAATTTTCCAGAATCAAAACATGGGAATGGATGTTGGCAAAAGCCTGTCCATTTCTCTGAAGAGAGTTATTATTTTTGGACATGCTGGAGAGTGGTCCTAACATGTAAAATAAACTTACATGCACTTTACCTGTATTTTTTGCCCATAATTTCAGAGTTTTATTTCTGCAGTTATATGAAAATTAAAGGTCTTTTTTCATATTTTAGGAAAGGTAACTCTAACAAGACATGCGTTTTGTTCCACATTCATTGTCCTCTCACTTTTGGGTAACTATTTAGCTAATTTCCTCTATTGCTGTGCAAATAACACGAAGTATATCTATAGGCATTATGGCCAAAGATATACACAACTTGCATCTACCAAACTACATGTAGGACATAATACTCACCATAAACAAACTAAACCAACCAAACTTGAAAAGTGAAAGTAATGCTGCGATATTGAAACATCGAGCCCGATGATAAATAATCAACACGATGTTGAACCCGTTGTTTGTATTTTTTTTAAATAAACAAGTCTAATGTTTCTATATAAAATGAAACATTAATAATAGATAATTGTTTTGAATTGCTTAGTTCAGTAAAGTTAATGTCGCCGAAAAAAGGGGAGGGGGAAGACCAATAGACAGAAAGACAAGATAATTCAACCAGATACCATATATACCTTATACCTTGCTTTGAACTTTTTACCTATTAAGAGAAAATTTGAGATGTCCTAAAACAAGAGATTGGTACCAATTTTAGCTTATGTTGATATCAAACTTCAGGGGCACTCAATGACTCTCATCCACTGTAGTACACAGGCACCTGTTTCGATTCATTTTTTTTTTATCTATATTATCATAATTATTATACTGTAGGTTTCTTTTTCCCCAAAACAAGTGCCTGTGCAATAACACTTTAGACAGTGAGAGCAAGTGCCAGCCATGTGAGCCTCAACTTGTTTTTCATCAAGATTTAATATATTTACAACTGAAACTTCCTATGCATTCTATGCAAAATTACTAAGAGCATGCCCTTATCAAAATGAAATCCATTTAGATACCATTTAAAAGCCATTACTTTTCTGACCATTTAAAGACCATTCAGAAGCCATTTTATTTCATCAAATCTTTCAAGAATTCTCAACAGAAGGGATGACCATTTAAAAACCATTTTTCATTTTATCTCCATTCAAACTCCATTCAAACCCCATTCAAACTCCATTTTTTTGGGCCCTGTAACATGCAAATTAACCATTCCAAAACCATTTATGCAAATGAGATAAAAAATGGAAAATAAATGGTTTTTGTTTTAACCATTTAATATCCATTTTTAACACATTTTATTTATAATTGAAAAATGGAACATTTCGCTGGGTCCTTAAATAATCCATATGCAAAAATAAACACTTTAAAAATCCATTTTCTTAGTTGTAGAGTTATGCAGTCACAAAACAGAGGTCACTTGCTCAATTTTTTCACATATATGCATGGTTTTGAATCCTGGAATTTTTTTTGTCAAAATCCTTATGGTCTGAATTGTGGTAGTCTCCATCTTTAAAATTTTATATTTTGAATCCCATGTCCATTTTGGTGCTCCATCATGTCCATATATGGAAACAGTACTCTAAAATTTAAAGGAAATGCAAAAAATATAATTATTTTAAAAAATTTACAATTGAAGTTTAATCAATATGAATTTACAAAAGTATAAATCCAAGTTCCCTAAGTCTGACCCACTTTAAACAAGATTAATCGGTTTGTAGATTATTGCATCAGCATGTTTAATGAGCATTCTTTATGTGTTTTCTTTGGAAAAAGAACATTTTCTGTAACTGTGCATGACATTAATAAAAATATGTACATATTTATACTTACCACTCAAAAAGAATAATAAGGTCTTTCTGTGTATGGTAAGTGTGCTGCATTTCTTCTGCCTTAGAATACTTCCCAAATGTTGGAAACATGAAAAACTGTCACATAATTATCCTCCTCCAAGAAGTTAGTAATTCTTTTTTCTGCTTTGACCATCAATGTACAGTTTTGTCAGCATCAAAAATCACTAAAAACCCAAATACTCCTTGAAGAATAACTTTAGCCATCTAAACTCACTACCAGCTAGGTCAATGTGCTCTTGTCCATGCAATATTCAAACTTACTGGAAAAGGCGGTCACTACAGAGCATTGGAGGAAATCTGATATCCAGTGCCCCATTATAAAAACCTGGCACATGGCATCAATTAACCACCAACAAATCTATCTAAAGCTAACCATTTTTTTCAATTCTCCATTTCTCAGAAAATAAATGGGAGAAAAATGGTCCACTCAAGCAAGCTGGATCACCAAACTGGCATTTCTTTTCCATTTACTCAAATAAATGGAAAGAAAATGCTGCATGTTGACCATTTAAAAAGCATTTTCTAACAGAAATGGTTTTTAAATGGTTCTGAAAAAATGGTTTTGGAAAATTGAAAGATAGATAAATGTAGGAAAAATGGTTTTGAAATGAAAAATGGCAAAAAAATGCTGAATGAATGGAGATAAAATGGAAAATTGCCATTTCTTTTTGCTATGGGATTCTTCTTTAGACAGTACCGTATTGACCTTGACTGAAAATCCAGTGTCAAAGTTCAAGGATGATATTATTACTATGTCCCTATCAATAATTCTCTTTGAACTGTTCTTCACTCACATAGGGACACCTGAAGTTTTTTGTAAATAAATAATAACCTTTCCATTTTATAATTAGATCTGCGTTTATTTTAAAGATCTATAAAATGCATTTCTCTCAAATAAACCTGTTTCACTGAGATGCATGTAATAATCAATCATGTAATAACATAATCTCTCACTTATAAACCGTTCATAGAAATATAGATTCCACAGTTATATTTTAAAACAATAAGAAAAATATATTATTTAAAACTAGAGTGTATAAATTGTATTCAGAATCATGTAACATTTGAGAAAGATTTTGAAAACTACCACAAAAATAAAACTCAAACATATGTTGTAATTTCTAAATTTTATTCTTAAATCAATTTTGCATAATTTCTTTTTTTTTTTTGTATTAAATCCATGATCAGAGACTGAGAATAAACATAGGTAATCAGAGATTACAGAGCTCACCTCAACGAATGTTGCCTTTAAGTAAGGCAAAGTCACACAATTACCCAACAAAAAGTGTACATCCAAAAATGCAACATTTATGAAATTTTGATCTGATACTTTGAAATAGACCTATATAAAAACTTCAATCTAGTTCTTCATCACAAAAATGTGATCAAATCCAGCATCTGAAGCAAGTTTAAGAGTTTTCATCCCTTGATGCATCATTTGGGCAAGTTTGGTTTATTTAAGCCTTATAGTTTCTTGGTGATAGACCTGCACCCATAACTTTTTACCTGGTCCATTATCTGGAAAATGTATGTCGAATTCAGCATCCGGAGCAAGTCCATTAGTATGCATCCTAAGATGTATCATCCATGCGAGTTTGCACAATATAGGGCTAATAGTTAATTAGAAATGAAACCTGCTTAAAAATTTAATCTCCTCATTCATCCAGAAACAAGAGATGTTTGTAAAACACTTATGCCCCCCTCCCCCCAAATTGGAATTTTTTTGTAAGTCCAAGGGGCAAAACTCTGTCAAAAATGGTGCGATCATACCCAGAACAGAACTTGACCTAGATATTAATGTGATTTATCTGTATACCAAATTTAATTTCAGTATGTGCAACTGTTCCAAAGAAAATGAGCGGAAACTGCAAATAATTGAAATTTTTCTAAGTCCAAGGGGCATAACTCTGTCAAAAATGGTGCGATTGTACCCAAAACAGAACTTGACCTAGATATTCATGTGATATATCTGTATACCAAATTTGATTTCAGTACGTGCAATAGTTGCGAAGAAAATGAGCGGAAACTGCAAATAATTGAAATTTTTCTAAGTCCAAGGGGCATAACTCTGTCAAAAATGGTGCGATTGTACCCAAAACAGAACTTGACCTAGATATTCATGTGATATATCTTTATACCAAATTTGATTTCAGTATGTGCAATGGTTGCGAAGAAAATGAACGGAAACTAAGTGGAATGACAGACCGACCGACCGACAGACAGCAGCAAAGCAATATGCCCTCCCTTCTTCGAAGGGGGGCATAAAAAATGTAGTTCAGATTCAGCATCTGAAGCCAGCCTGGTAGAATGCAACCTTAGATGTATCATCCATGCAAGTTTGGTCATTAAAGAGCTCATAGTTACTTGGAAATGAATCCTGCATCAAAAACTTTAACCTGTTCACTCATCCAGAAAATGTAGGTCAGATTCAGCATCTGAAGCAAGTCTGGTAGTATGCATCCTAAGATGTATCATCCACGCAAGTTTAGCCATTATAGGCTCATTGTAACTTGGAAATGAATCCTGCCCCAAAAACTTTAACCTGTTCACTCATCCAGAAAATGTAGGTCAGATTCAGCATCCGAAGCAAGTCTGGTAGTATGCATCCTAAGATGTACCATCCATGCAAGTTTGGTGAACATAGGGCTTATAGTTACTTGGAAATGAGACCTGCACCAAAAACATTAACCTGTTCACTCAACCGGAAAATGTAGGTCAGATTCAGCATCCGAAGCAAGTCTGCTAATGTGCATCCTTAGATGTACCATCCATTTAAGTTTGGTCATTATATGTCTCATAGAAACTTGGAAATGAGACCTGCACCAAAAACATTAACATGTTCACTCAACCGAAAAATGTAGGTCAGATTCAGCATCCGAAGCAAGCCTGGTTATGTGCATCCTTAGATGTACCATCCATGCAAGTTTGGTCAACATAGGGCTTATAGTTCCTTGGACATGAGACCTACACCAAAAACTGCACCAAAAATGTTAACCTGCTCCAAAAACATTAACCTGGTCATTCCTTTGCTGAAATTGCAGCATCTGAAACTTTGACTGGTACAGTGAAACACATTAGAAGCATCTTTCATGCATGTCTAATCAATATAGGACATAGAAGTACTTAAAAAGAAAACTGCTCCAAAAAACTTAACCTGGGACGCCGACACCGACGGTATTACATAAGCTCCCCCAACTTCGTTGAGGTGAGCTAAAAATGTTCAAATCCATGTACAAATGTTTCAAAACTTTTGAAAAGGAATCACAGGCCGTACTTACTGTACATGTATCTCCGTTAGAAAAGACTTTGAAATGTTCTAAAACTTCTTTCTAAAATTCTTTATTTATGAAGAAAAATAAAAGCTTCAATGGTGATTTTTTTTTTAAATTTACCTTTAATACATGTAGCTATTTTAATATCCTTACTTCCCTGTATACATAGATTTATATTTTTCTGTGGAAAAGTCTTGTCAGACCTTAATGAACAATAAAAATGTTCAGAATAGAATCTTCAAAAATATTGAATTACATGTATGGACACAGATTAAATACTAAAACAAAAAAGTCACAAGAGAATTTGCTAACACATATACCTCAATCTTTAAAGAAAATTTATAGTGTTTTCCACTCCTCAGCACATACATGTATCTAGATTTTTAAAGAAAAATGAGCAGACTGGATTTCCTTGCATAAAAAGGCCCAAGCATGTTTTTCCTGGCCTTAATTGACATAAAAATGGTTAAAAATCTAATTCTGAATATAACAAATATACATTTTTCATGACAGTTCCATGTAATGCCAATTCAAGACTTTCACTTTTGATTAATTACTGATGTACACTGTACAAAGAGATGAGATCTCCATTTCATAGAATTTTAAAAAAAATATTAAAATTTGTTTTTCAGGCAACACTAACAAGATTAACATTAATTCAAACCAAAACAAATATTAAACATAATTGTGAAAAAATTTTTCTTCCATGATTTACATTTAAGTGAGTTTATAAGCTGGTAATTCTACATCAGAAAATCAAAATTATCAGTTCAAACAATTTTCTTAAGCTTGAATAACATATGGTTTGGTGTCACTGAACCACAGTAAAAATCAGCAGTCCATATTCAACAAATGTTTATAAACTACCACTGAAAAATAGCCAACAAGATTTTACCGCCAATCACAATATTCTGAATAGATACTGTTGTTACAAAATCAGATGAACTACATTGTTTCACCAAAGGTGATAACTAAATCTATTCAGATTTCACTTCAAATGGACCGGGGAGGAACTTCCTTCATCCCTATTTTAGATGAATGACTCACGCTTCCTGGTATGGCATAATGACCTAATTCCACTTACAAATGACCTAATTCCACCGGCTCTTTTTCTTGCGGGTGCTGCTGCTGTTGATGGGGTTATAAACTCCCGGTTCCACCTTTGGCATACCCGTGGACTCAGCCGCCACAAAATTGGATTTGAATTGAGCCTGTAAAGAGGGGGAAATTTCAACACATCAAAATCAAGCATTTATTTCTCACCTATATGTTAATTTTGAATTGGCAAATTATATCCAGATAGGAATACAAATTTTCAGTGCATGCAAACATGTACTGTATGCAGGGAAAATTTTCGCCCCTTTTAATTTTTGCCCCTTTTGCCCTCTTCATGGTTGGGCGAATTTAAAACTGGACAAATTCAAAGTCCACAGCATAATTTTTTATATAGACCTATCACCTATGTCTGGGTGAATTTAAAACAGTGTAAAATTGTTCCCAAGTGCAAAGGGCGAAAATAACTCAGGGTTTATACAGTATGTAAAATGAAACTGACAGTGAATACTCTTTGTACTCTTCGTCTCCCTCACATGCCAGCAACAGAAGTATTACTTACAGAGAATGCAGCTTTCATGGCTGCCAGTCGATCACTCTGAGGTCCTGCTGATGACCCAATTCCTCGAAAACTTCCAAGACTTGTGGAATCCTGCACTCTGGTACTCTATAAATAAAATTTAAATTGGTCATTTTACGACAAGAGTACTTAGAGTAACTCATTACATATACCTGTTCCTCTTATAATAATGCATGAAATTCTGTGGTCTGTGGCTACTTCAATAGGCAATTTTTAATATTCATTAAATACTTTGTTAATGAAATTATATTATTAACAAATATCTGTATTACTTGCGTCAACATACAAAATCATGAGCTAGGACGATGAAAGGGTTAATGCTATAAAACTTAAGTAGAAAACTCCTTTGAAAATCTTTAGCACCAAGAAATTGAAGATACCTGGTATATTATCAAGATAATTAATTATTCTTCATGACCTTTGACCTTGATACTCACACTTTCTGCACCCAATCCTGGCCTCTCCTTGAATCCCAGTCCTTTACCCCCCAGGTTTAATTTCTTTCCTTTACCGCCCTGTTTGCCTCGGATTTTCTTGAACCATGGATTCTAAAGAAGATAAAATTTCAGATAAACTTAACCATCAAATAACTTGACATTAAACAGATGAAATAGCAGGAGGTTTAAACATCTCAGCATGAAACACATAGCCAAAACTTGAACCAGATACTTAGCTATCATATATCTATTACACTAAACCATCGGAAATAAAGATTTCACCTTTTCAGCAATCTCTAACACTAAACATTGTCAAGTGGAAGGTGAAGATTTCACCTTTTTGACTTTCTCTCACACAAAATCAGTGGACATGAAGATTTCACCGTTCCAACAATCTATCTCTAACACTAAACCACTGGAAATAAAGATTTCACCTTTTTGACTTTCTCTTACACAAAATCAGTGGACATGAAGATATCACCTTTTTGACTTTCTCTCACACAAAATCAGTGGACATGAAGATTTCACCGTTCCAGCAATCTATCTCTAACACTAAACCACTGGAAATAAAGATTTCACCTTTTCAGCGATCTCTAACAGAGCATGTGGGACATGCTGACCAGCTGTTTCCAGATTACGAACAAGATGTCCAGCAAAGTCCTTGTCTTTGTCTGTAACCAGGGTGTAAGCAAATCCCTTCTCTCCTGAAAAACAAAATTTGTTTGAAAATATTATCGTCTTACAAAGAATCATATGAGCTTGTAAACAAAAGCATAATGCCCCATCCCCATTTTTTTTTTCAATACTTTTATTTCCAATACATTTGATAATACTTTTCTTATAAGTACATGTACTGATATAATTTATTTGAAATTTGAACTGAAAAATTAAGTGTTCTATTCTATATATAGCTTTTGAATACAATACTTCAATGAGCATTTTTGGGGTGATCATACAAAGGAAAACATTTTATTCAGGTCAAATGAATTACATTTATGTATAAAGAAAAGTAAACCTGCAGGTCCCCATTTGAGGCCTTTTCTACTAAGTAAATTTAACTGATTTCCAAAAGCATAATCCAAGAAAAGAAAATCAAGCACATAGACAACAGCTCTAAAATGTACCTGCTCTGCCTGTTCGACCAATCCTGTGTGTATGTGTGTCTATATCTCTGGCAACATCGTAATTAACAACCGTCTTAATGGAGGGAATATCAAGACCACGGGCTAAAAAAATTAAAACGTGACAGGTACGGTAATATTCATTCTCTGCTTGAGAAAAAGTACAGTAAAACACATTTATAACAAAATGTCAGGGTTGGGTGATTCTGCTTCTTTATAAGCGTAATTCATTACATCTGTTAGGTTTTTAATATACTGTAGACATACTTTTTTCCAGGGGTCATAATTCCGCAAAACCTCAATTTCTGTTGAATCCGCACGTAGAAAATTACGCAGATATCCTAGATAGTCACTATATGTCTTACATTTATACTAAGTACGCTTGGACAAATTTCCGCAGAAAAATTGTGTCCGCAGACATAGTGTAAATTAATACCACGCAGAAAAAGTACTTCTACAGTATTTTGAAGTCATAGGGGAAAAAAATCACTGTTGTAAGCATCACTTCGTTACAAGCGTGTTCCATATAACCATGTTTTACTGTACATCATTGATAAAATTTAACAGAGACATGATCTTAAATAAGATAGTTATTCCCTAATTCTAATGAAATAATTCACTTTTACATTTTCTGTTGAAAATATTTCAACATTCACATTTATTACAGATATGAAATATAGAGTTTAAGAGATTTCCTGAACATGAAAATATGATTGGCTAATTTTAAAAAAGAAGCATTTATGCTTAATGTAAGTAAAAATAGCAAATGCATCTTATCTAAAATATTTTTGAAGTTTAAACTAGGAATACAGTCCATACATAAACAAATATTTTTTTAAAAAAAACATGAAGAGACTGCAGTCACCATATTCCAATTTATTTTTAACATCTATTGATCAGTTGAAATTCTAATTCTTATAATTTCATTCATTTATCTGGCATGAGTGTCACTAATGAATCGTTTCCATTATGCATAAATTCTGATCAAGTTTTCCTTTACATATGGTGAACATAAATATAGCAATTAAATCGAATGAATTAAGTCTTGACTTGTATTGACGTGATACTGTATTACATGTGTACTCGTAACCTACCTGCAACATCTGTAGCTACTAAAATTGGCACTTCTTTCTTTTTAAATGTTGTGATGACTTCATTTCTCTCCATCTGACTCATGTCACCATGTAAAAGACCCACTGAAAAAATAGGTTACTTACATGAATTTAGTTCAAACTGTTTGGAAAAAGATCCCTTTTTCCCATTTTTAATCATCAATTTCAAAACTATATAAAGGGAAATTTTTTCACCCATTTTATTTTTTCCCTGGTTGAAATCGGGTGAGCCCTTTGTACAGTAAATGTAAATCTTTAATTTATATTTTTAGAGAAAAATACAGAATATAATATTCATATTGTATAAGAGTTAAACATGGAAATAAAAAGAAAAAGAATTTTGATCTGAAGTATTTGGCCACCATGTACATATATGATTTAGATACATGTATGTTTCACAGATTATTATCAGAATATATCTACAATCGTCTTGTATTCCTATCAAATAATATTCTTCCCATTTGTAACCATTCATTTTACATACATGTAAAATCTACAATACAATGGCCATCTCTTAATCTAGTTTCAAAAATATATACAGAAGACAGGGAAATTTTTGGTATATTGTGCCCCTTTTACCCTTTTTGCCAGAGAGTATATAGAATATGGGGTGAATTATCTGGAAAAATTTAAAACTGGATAAAATGTTTTCAAGTGAGAGAGAACAAACATAAGGGTGAAAAAACCCCATTGGAACTTACGTTTCATGTCCCTTGCCCTTAGGTTTGTTGCCAATTCTTCGGCATTTGCCTTCCTGGTAACAAAAATTAACACACTGCCCACTGCAAAACAATATCATAATACAGCTCAAATTTTTAAATTAACAAAAAAAACTATTTTATGAACTTTTTTTTTATAATTATTGCACTGTGTTACTTCCAATTTTGAATCTTTTAAACTAAGATTTAAAAATTATATACTTCAAAATGTTTTACTACTTGTTTTATTATATGCATATAAAATATCCAAAAATCTTTGAAAAAAATCGTGATTTTTTTTTTTTTTTTTTTTTTTGTCACAAAGTGTTATCCCCAATAAAACTTACTGGTTGTAAATTCTACAAGTCTTTTGACCAACCAAGTCCACTTAGCAGGACCCAGGGGTAGGACTTCTACTATCTGTGTTATGTCTTCATTAGCCTGACAATACAAAGGATTTCATTAAACCCATTATAGGTTTTCAATTAATGAATTAACTGAAAACTTTTTCATAAAATAATTATAAGTATTATATTGATTTTTCCTTTTAGGAATGAAAAATTTCTTTGGCAATTAATTTTGACCATGACAGATACAGAGGTATAAAAAGCATTGACATACATTTTTTATGACCAAAATATGCAAGAAATATGTACATGGAGTATTAATTAACATGATCAAGGTACAGTAAATAACCGAACAAAATTTCTAAAACAGAATATCATCCTGTTTTTAAAAAACAAATTTTGTTTACTGTAAATTGCTTTTTACTCATGACAACTTCATTTTCGCGTAATTACGCTCGCAAAAATTTAATTCTCGCGAATGTTAGTATTCTTTAGGATTATAGAGAGTAATAACCACAATTCATGAAAATTTTGTCTCATTTATCAAGAATCAATGCTTATCTTATGGAAATAAGGTGTCAAGAAAATTTATTTGAATTACCTCCCCTGCTTCCCCCTGTACAACACGTATAGGATCCAGCAGAATGTCTCGAGCCAGCTTCTCTACTCTCTTCCTGAATGTTGCACTAAACAACATCGCTAAAATTAAAGGTAGCTCATATTGTCACTTGATACATGTAACTTCCTCACACAACCAAATGTTTACAATCCATTAAGTTGAGAATTTAATTCATGTAGCTTTATGCTTTTCAATTTTAGCTCTTCAGAAAGATAAAGTTCACTTACTCTGTCTGTCTGGCCGAACATGGTTAGCTATAGACCGCACCTGAGGCTCTAAAAAAAATAATATAATTATGTTTTAATACATGATAAAAACAATTTAACATCACAAAAGAGTTATCAGTGAATTAAAAATATCTGTTGGATTAATACAGATCTGTTCTCTCTTTATCTAAATTTTACATGTCGACAAGAAAAACAACACCAATGTGAACACTTTCTGGATACATTCCAAACACATTGTACATGTATACAACTTCAATATGGCAACAGTTTTCTTTTTCCATTTCAACTTTTATCAACATATTTATATCAAATGAGATAACTATTGTAGTGTATTAATTATAAGGGAAGTGTAGAAACAAATAACATTACTAACTCACCAAACCCCATGTCAAACATTCTGTCTGCCTCATCAAATACAACATATGTTACTCTCTCCAAATTAGTCGCTTTTTTCTTCACCAAATCAATCAGTCGGCCCTACAGATTCAATATAAAATGTATAATCAATTTCATTTATACATTTATGTCTGATATTATATTAATTTAAATCTTTTGCAAATTCAAGAAGTTATAATTCTGTTAATTCATTTGATTCAACTTTAGGGTTGCAGGGGCAGCATAAATGAAAGAGGAATATGGTGGACAATGCATTTTCCGAGTAGTGTTCAGCTTTACTGTGTGTTGACTTACAGGTGTGGCCACAATGATCTCAGCGCCGTCTTGACACGCCTTTGTCTGTTCCCACATACTCCCCCCACCATATGCACACACCACGTTGATGTTGTATACTTTGCCAAACTTTTTTGCTTCATGATAAATCTACGGGTAAGAAATTTATGGGTTTGAAAAAATGAGTACAACCTTTAATCTTCTCTAAAATTCTTTATTTAAAATCATTTTATTATAAAACTAAAGGTACACATGTATATATTCTATATATTCTGAATACAGTATTTTGAAAGTGAACCGAGTGAACTGTACACATCTTGCCGAGTTTGCAACATATGACGTTTTCTTTACCTGCTGAGACAGTTCTCTCGTTGGTGCCAGAATTAATCCAATAGGTCCCTCCCCCTCTTCTAGCTCCCGCTACAAAACAATAAATCTGTAATGCTCTAAACTTCTTTCTTTATTATGAGAAAAGTCTCTCTTGCCAGCCTTTCTCTGATTGTCTAAATATATTTATATACAGTAAAACTCGTTTAGTACGAACAAGGATATAGCAAATTCACGGATATAGCGAAGTTTCTCGGGGTCCCCGGCAAAATTCTTAACAATTCTTTGTAAAATTTTAAGGTTATAACGAACTCGAATATAGCGAATTTACGGATATAGCGAATTGATTTTGAGTCCCGTAGAGGTTAGAAATAATAAAATTTACATCTTTTATGACGAATTTTTAAAAATCTCAAAGGTAGTATTTTGAACTTACTTTACTTTTAGTAAGTATTCGCAAATGAAATTCAAGTTGTAATGGAAAACCTAAGTTAGCCAAGGTATGTTTTTGTAATAATTGATTCCCTACCATATTCGGTTGTACTACTTGAAGGAAAACGTATATATTGCGAATTCTCTGCGTACACTTATACGAATTCGTTTTATGGATACAACGAATTACGGATATAGCAAATTAAATTCGAAAGTCCCCAGGACTTCGCTATAACCGAGTTTTACTGTACAGTCAAATCTCGTTATTTTGAACACTTTGGGACTGAGAAAAAAAACTTACTGATAACCAAGGTTTCAAGATATCAAGAATTAAATACACTGTACTTAAAAAATAAGTGGTTGGGACCTCAAAATCACTTCTACATTTCCATGGTATTTGAGATATCAATGTACAAGATTGGGAAGTTCAACTGTATACTTACTTGATCCATGATATGTACTAGCAATGGCCACAGAAAGGCGGCTGTTTTACCACTACCTGTCTTGGCTATTCCTATTATGTCACGCCCATTCAAAGCTATTGGTATACCCTTAAAAAATATTTAATTGCTAGTAAACAAAATTTTCTTTTTCTTTCACCTAAATATTTTGTGTACAGAGACAAAAATGAACAAGATATTCATGGTTATCAATTTGAAATAAATGTTGTAGTATCTGTACAATATAAAATTTTTAACTCATATGCTGGAAAATGAAGAAACTCACCTGAGCCTGAATGGGGGTTGGCTGTGAGAATTCTGATTTTCTGATTGCATTCATCAAATTTTCATCAAAACCAAAGTGAGCAAAACTTGACACCGGTTTGGGAGGGTTAAAACCAGACACCTGTTGAAAAAGTAATTATTATATGTTAGGTTTTAATGGAATTCTTTAATAGAGCTGATCTCCAGTCCTACATGTAACTAATGAATATATTACCAGTATATACTTTATTTCTAACCAAATTTTTTCACTGTACTTAAAGTATACTTCTATAAACTACACTGTACCTCTAAGATTTCACACATTGTGATAAAAAATAGAATATTAGTACATTAAGTTCACTGTATAGGTAAATGTACCAATTTTAAAAACAAAAGAAGCATCATAGTTACACATCTATATGAAAATTTGGAGAGAATTTATGTTACAGTAATTTTCTTTTAATTCAAATGGGACTATAGAAGCACCATGCATCTTAATAAGTTATGTTAACAATACAAATACTGTAAATATATTATATATTTAGCGGTAAGTGATTTTTAAACAAATTAGCATAGATTTGATTTAGCACATTTCTTAATGTTCTTATTCATGTATCAATGTTTAAGACATTTAGCGATGTACTTCAATTAACGGAAGTATCTCTCCGCCAAAACCGCTTAAAAGAATACACCGCCAAACGTAATATGTTAACAGTACTTTCTGTATTGATGATTAACATATACCCTTATGCTCAGTTTTTTCCGCAGCTCGTCCACTTCATTTGGTTGTAGTTTGGCTATCTCCTCATGCTCCACATAAAAGTTTTTCTCAAATGGTCCATAATCAATCTCGCTGTGATCAACTGGTGGTAAGGGATCAATAATCTGAAAACAAAAATAAAGCATGTTCACAACCTAGACATCTAGTTTAATAACAAGGCTAGCTGCTACAATTTAGAATGCAGCCATCATGCTACTTCTATATTCTAATTTTATGGAAAAGGCAAAAAAGTGGTTATAAGTTTGACCTATGAAATATCACTTATAACGTTTCAAAGGCCTTCTAACTCCATAGTTAAAGAAAATAGCAATTCGAGTACAATCGTTTTACTTTATTTTTCTCTGGGATGATGGGATTTCCTTCTTCATCATATTCTATAACTGTGTCATCGTCATCAAAAACCACACCCGCCATTGGATTCTCCTCCATATAACGGAAAAAAGACTCCTGGTCATCTTCCTGGTCAATATCATCTCGGACTCCTCTGTAAAAGTGGTCAATCTCAATCATACAGAAGCAATCCTTAATTTCAAACAGTTTCATCAAAGGGATTTATCTATGAAAAATCTCAACATCAGCAATGGATGTGTGAAATTACTATGGGAGTCTAGGGGAATCCACCGTGAACTTTTCAGATTAATGTTTAGGTCAATGATTAGCATATAATACTTCAATCAGTTTCATCACTACACAAAATACTGTTTACAAGGCAACCAACCACCATCCCACCCCCAATTTTATTTATCCACATGTCAAAGGTGGGGGAATTTAAAAGGGGGCAAATATAAAGAATACAGCATTATCTCTAAAATTCAACTCAATCAATCCTATGTGTATTTAAAATGTGGGAAAAATTGTTTGCAAATGAAAAAAGGGAAAAAATAACCCAGAGTGAAAATAACCCTATATACAGCATGTAACAGAAATTAGTTACTTGTCCTTTTTCTTCTCTTTTACTTTTTCCTTTGCTGTTTCTTTGGGTTGTTGTGACCTGACCTCTGTCTGTAAAAGAATATATAAACAGTATACTGAAGATTAACAAGGCAACTGTGCATTAATTTTCCTATTTTAAACATTTGTTAACTTAACAAGGCCCGATCTACTTGATCTGCGCATGTTTTAACGCAGCGTCGACTCAGACACGTCACAATACCCTTGACTGCCGTCACAATTGAACACAATAACGTCACAATTAAAATGACGTCAAATTGCGCTAAAATGTTTCGCTGATCTTGCTTACCTAGTAGCTCTTATAGACTGTGCATTGAAAGCTGGCATTTCTATTATCTTTTTTTAAATATTTAAATAATAAACAACTTTGGAACCTAATTAATTTTGAGGGATCAATTCTGTGGTACAGATTCATTAATTTTATCTTGTTTTATTTCAATTTGTGAGTTAAAAAAAAACACTGCAACCAAAAGTAAACGATTATAGTCTTTCTCTATGAACATGTTATCTAAAGTGTTTATACACACTCTTTTTATTGCGGACGTAAAATGCATGGATTATCTTCAGTTTTAAAAAATAAAATAAGTCCATTAAACATTTAAATGCAACCCCGAAATATTTTATTTTTCTATATATTACATGATATTAGTAAAAATCGTAATTTTGTTGCCTTTACCCCCCCCCCCCCCTCTACTCCTTTTCTCCACGTAAAACGTTGCGTGTTAAGAGAAAAATAAAGCATGGCGAGAAAATTATTTCATAATGTAAGAATTATTTATTTTTTAGAAACTATATAAATACAGTATTGCAATCGTTTGTTGGTATTATATAAACCCATTGCGACCTATAAAATACGTAGTTGGATAGAATAAATCCAAATTTTGTGTTTTGACATGCTCCCTTTTCACTGCAATAAAGGCTACCTCCAATTTTTTTTCATATTTTATAAGAAGAATGAAAATTGCATGATATATGTGAAAAACAAAGATTTTCATCATGTATTTTTTTTTAATTTGTAAATTTCTTTATTTATTGAAGAGTTTTAGTATGTAATTGTGTATAAAAACACGACAAATGGTCCATATCTTGAGAGTGTCCCCATTTGACTACAGTAAAGGCAAGGTAACAAAATTTCATTCTAATTTTTCTATATAAGCATAAAACATACAAATATATTTCCAAGAATTGAAATTTTTTATCATTCCGTTTTCGTAATTTTCAACTAGATCGGGCCTCGTTAAAATGGTTTGACCCATTATCAAACTTCACCTACTATGAGTTAATGTATAACAGTAACCAGTCAAACATGTTTAAAGAGGCCACCTTAGAAAAATTTGGAAAGTGGTCACTTTAGACATTAGAGATTTTGTAATGCAATACATTGCAAAAATTTAAACTGTATTGCAATATGTATTGCAATATTTTTAACGAAAATTAAAATGACATTTTCTTATTACATTAACTTTAATTTACATGCAAGATGTACATAACTAAGAAAAGTTACTTAAAGGAAAAAATCTTGTTGATTTATTATTGTTATTCACTGAAATATGCCCATAAAATAGCTTCTGACTTGCTGATTTTGCCAGCATATTGATATTATTTTTGTCATTGCATTGCAATATTCCGAAATATTGATACTTCTGCCCAGCTTATTAGACATGTGGCCTCTTATTCCAGTTTGCCCTCAAAACAGTCACAGTCAATAAATTATACAACAGCATTTAACACTACAGTTGAATTGATAACAAATAAGAATATGGAGGCATCCAATGGATGTGGTGTAAACTTACCTCAATGTCTGCCATGAAAGCATCTAGGGGGTCTTCTTCATCACTGTCCTCAGGTTTCTCCTCCCCTGGACTCCCCGGGGCTGGCTGATAGGCCATATTATCTTCATCATCATCTTGTTCAAAGTACCTTGAATTTATTGAAAAGAAATGCACACACAAAAAAAATTAGAATACTAAATTCACAAAAAAGGTTATTCTTGATTTATTGCTTGATTCCAAAAAATTGAAATGTGTGTAAGGCATTATGAAAAAGGTATTCTCTGCTTGTTCCCACAATAAATTGAAACCTTTCAAAAGCAGTATGAAAGATTCCAAACATTCATGATTCCTGGGGAAAAAAATCACTCACTCATCTTCATTCCTTGCTCTCTTCTTGCCAATGTTTGTGTGATACCCAAATGATCTACCCGGCATAATGCTGGATCCTCCACTAGGCATCCCTCCTAAGCCAGACTGACTAGGGGCCTGCTCTTCTTTCTTGGAAATCGAGAATCCAGAAAATCCAAATCCTTTAGGTTTCCCATCCCCTCCTTTGTGAAACATTCTGAACAAAGTCTATTTAAAAAAATCAATAAACAGCAGTTGATTTTTTCATTTACTTTTAAGTACTGTTTAGCCAGAGTCTGGAATTGAAAAATTCATACTTCCAGTGAAAAAAAAATCTGAAATTGAGTCTGCATGCTCAAGCACACAAATGAAAATAATTTTTCATTGTATTTATCCCCATCATAAACTTGAAACATCATAACATGAAAACAATTGTTTAATGCAGATATTGTGGATCAATAGAAATAGCAAATACAGAGTTAGTGAATAGCTTAATAAAACTATACAGCTTATTCAAGCTATATAGAAAAACCAAGAGATTAAGCTGGACTTGCTGTGAGACTAAGATTTTCTTGTATTTGGAAAGATGTGTTTCTTACCACAAACTTCAAATTTCTACCTAGTGCATTGAATAACTGGTCTCATTTGCTTTATTTTATTTGAAATATACCAGCAATTGAATGCCAACACATTAATGTTTACATTTTTGTATATCCTTACTCCAAATTCTGTCCAGTTTTCTTTTGCTTGGCGCTTATTTTTATCTTTAGACGCAGAAGAGTTCTAACTTGGAGAGGGTAAAAGACGATATTTAAGCTCAGTACTGATAAGCGGTAAAATTAGCACTCCAGACGCCGGATGACCTTTTTTGTTGCATTTATATGTTTATCCTCAAAACATACATATAATTCTCACAAATAGGGCCTTTAATATGTGTACAATATGTATATTGATTCATTTGATAAATACATACGTGCATACTGTTTACAGGTTCCAGTAAATGTTCAACCAGGGACTTATATAATAGTATATAAGTCCCTGGTTCAACCAAGCCTCTAGATCTGTAGATATTAACAGTAGTGACTTAGGAGAAACTTCAAGAGTACTGAGCAACAATAAATTGAAGAAGTGGTGTGAATCAGATGTGGATACTCAAAAATTCCAAAGAACTTTTGGACAATTTGAAATCACAAGATTTTACCAAAATCAACAGCTTAAAAACTTACAATTTTCAAACTTTCCAACTTTATACACAAATAATTTAATTCTGGTTGTAACGATGTATTTGATTGGATAAAAAATTACTTTAAATCGTATAAAATGGGTTGCGTACGTCACAATGACTTGCGTCAAAAACGTATCAATCCGCCTGACGTTACATTCAAATTTTGTACAAATTGAAGTCTATGGCACGCCAAATTCACAAAAATGAGATAATCATAGTTTCACAATCGATAAACTAGATTTATCGGTTGTAAACTATAGTTTACGAACTGTAAACTATAGTTAACAACGTTAATCCATATTTCACATCTGTAAACCATAGTTAACGCGATAATCTATGATTCACGACCGTAAACTATACTTAACACTGAAAACAATCATTTGCGATTGCAAAACATAGATTTTCTGATAAATACAGTTTCACGAGTTGTAAACTATAGTTTACAAACCGTTAACTATAGTTAACGATCTGATAAATATAGTTTCACGATTTGTGAAACTATGATTAACAACGCTTAACTATAGTTAACGATCGTAAATTATAGTTTACAGACGTGAATCTATGTTTATCAACAAAATCTATTGTTAACGTTTCATTACAGACAGATAAACTTAGATTATCATTCGTAAACTATAGTTAACAACCGTTAATTATAGTTTTACAGATGAAAACTATACTTAACGAATCGTTAACTATAGTTTACGGTTTGTAAACTATAGTTTACAGTCGATAAACCTAGTTTATCAATTGTGAAACTATGATTATCTCATTTTTGTGAATTTGGCGTGCCATAGAAGTCATTTTGTTTTATACGGTATAAACTGGGTTGGAACAGTTTACGCTTTTTTATAAACCGCTTCGCGTAAACTGTCCCAACCCAGTTTATACCGTATAAAATGGGTAGCTATTAAATTCATTCTTTAACTACTCTCCACGATAAATCAAAGTCCAGGCTTTTTGATAACATTGACAGAGCTCTGCTTTTTCAATAAAAATGGAACTCGTAAAGAACTATTTGCGGTATACTGCATATCTTTGCCCCCCACAAAAGTCAAATTTTGAAAATTCTTGAAATATACTGAATTCCATAAATTGTATAAGAAATATAAATTAACAGAACATATTATAATTTCAAAGTAATTTATTGACTATTTTTGTTTTTATGACGTCACAAACTAGTCCGATTTTATATCATTTTTTAAAAAGAAGACAAAATGAACAAAATTTCAATAATTTTAACTTTAAAATTTATAGAGCGCAAGTTTGCTCAAGAACAATATTTACATATTTCATTGATATTATCATTCTACATATTATATCAAAATATTGAGCCTGATCAAACCTGCGCTCGGTGATTTTTACTCAAAATATCGACGTAATATATACATTTTTCTGTAGAAATCATGGAAATTTTAAATTAACGTCATTTTCGTGACGTCATTTGAAACATATGACGTCATTGCTTATGAAAATATTTAGTGCTTTGAAGTCAGCATATATCCCCCTATTTAAGAATAAAAATTGAATATTTCTCCGTCAAAGTTTGATTTGGGAATATTGGTTATTATCGAATAAAGTTCTTTAATTACCTGGTCATTAGTCATTTGCAAAATTATTTTGAAGCAGAATTTGTGCAAAATCTAATGCGTGAAAAGAAGACAACACTTGCTGTGGCCCTCAACTCGACATTTAGATATATCGACGTCGACGTACTGTCAATTAATTAACAATGGTAATTTTCATTCCTATGTCGAAACAATATATTCTAAGGAGCTTGAGAGAAAAGTTACCACAGAGTCTGACACATCTGTTTCATACTTGGATATTTACTTGAAAAAAGACATTAATGATAATCTAACAACCAAGCTCCATGATAAACGTGATGACTTTCAATTTTTTATCGTCAACTTCCCTTACCTATGCAGCAATATACCTTCATCACCTCGATCCATATAGAGTTTATATATCTCACTTGATTCAATACGCAATCTTCAGCATGCTCTACGTATGAACAATTTCTAAAACGGGATAAATTATTGACAAACAAGTTAGTGAAACAAGAATATCAGCAGTCTCGTTTAAAGTCATTATTTCTATGGTCGATACAATGACCTTGTCAGCAAGTACAATTTATCATTGAGTCAAATGCTGACAGGCGTTTTTCATACCAATTGTTAGTCCATTATTTATATACTGAATTGACGACGGTTTTTTCCGTTTTTTCTCGATCATGACAAGGATCACACGGCGGGTGTGACCGGTCTGTGGTGGATGCTCACTCCTCCATGGCACCTGATACCACATTTGATGTTTTGGAGGTCCATGTTTGCTCTGCTCCTATTTTTGTATTGTTTCATGGACTTAAAGATTTAAGATTTGATGGGAAAAAAATACAGACACTCTCTTCTCTAGTGTGAGAAAAAAGCCAAACATTTTTAACTAAGAAAACAAAACTAATTGAAATATATACCAGTACATATTCTATCTAATTCTTTTGTCGCTTCTGGATTATTGAATACAGAAGGATAGATGGTTTTCATAATTTCTCCTTAAATGCGAGCTCGATTGTAACATAGATACGATACACTTAATCCAAGTTTCGAGGGGTATTATAGTGCACTGTCTGTCTGTTTGTCTGTTTATCCTCAAAAACTTTTGCCCATAACTTTTGAGTGGGTGGGGCTATGGCTTTCATATTTCACAGGTGTATTCCTTGTGACAAGGCCTTTCTTTCTTTGGGCACCACCAAATTTGACCTCTTGAGTTTGACCTTAGAGCTTGACCTACTTTTATAAAAAATACTACTTTTACTTTTGCCATAACTTTTAAATGGTTGTTGATAGGGCTTTCATACCTCTCATCTGTATTCTTTGTGACAAGACCTTTCATTGGATTCCAACAAGTTAGACGTTGACTTTCAGTTGGTAGACTGACCTACTTTTAAAAAACTTTAAACTTGGCCATACTAGCGTTTGACTGTAAGGGCTAGGGCTTTCATACTTCACACATATATATATTTTTTGTGACAAAACCTTTCATTCGATTTCAACAATTTTGACCCTTTGACTATGACCTTGGTAGATTGACATACTATTAAAAAACGTTTACCCTAGGTCTGGGACTTTCATACTTCATTTATGTAATCCTTGTGATAAGACCTTCCCTAGGATACCAACAACTTTGACCCGTTAACCTTGACCTAAGATTTGACCAACATTTAAAAAAGTTTAACCTTGGCCTTAAATTTTGATCAGGTGGTGCTGGGGCTTTCATATTTCACAACTGTATTTCTTGTGAGAAGGCCTTAGTTTGGGTACCAGCATATTTTATTTGCATTTGAGATAGTTGCCTTCGCTATGTTGCCATACGGGGGCCTCAGTGTTTTACAAACACATCTTGTTATTCTCGAGTGATAAAATCCAAGTTATAGTTTACCTTTAAACCTGAACCAAAAAAATGAAATAGTGTCATATTCTTCCTTATTGATATATACTGACGGACTTTAAAAACGCAATACATATTTTTTCATTATAATTATTTTTCAAAAAATATTGAAAACTTTTATTGCAATCTTCGTTCACCATATATAGTGCTGATTTTTAAATTCCACTACCCGACTTACCTGTGCTAGTTGTTTGCATGATGTGAGTAGTATTGCACGAGATATTCGGGCCTTTTTAAAAACATATGGAAAAGTGAAAAGGGGGTTTTGTCGTGATCAATCAACTTTGTTGATGAAAGTATAGTCACCACTAACAGAATAAATCGAAATAAAGACCATGCCGCGGTTAAATAATGAAATGCGAAATCGAGCACTCGGTCTACTGCAAGCAGGCGTTAGTCAGCGGGAGGTTGCTAGGCGCTTTAACGTTCATCCCTGTACAATTAGCCGGTTGCTGCATCGGTTTCATCAGACAGGATCAATAAATGATCGTCCAAGACCAGGTCAACCGCGTGTGACAACACTACGTCAACAGGCCTACATACGCCAACGTCA